CTCTCGGGATCTTGGGCACGCACGCACACGTGCCCGGCGTGAGTTTTAAGCCACCGGGTCCGGGACACGAACCGCGGTTGACTACGTGGGAGTCCAGCGACATAGCCATTACGCTAACTGCTGGTTCCCTCCTTTCAGAACTTTTTGAAGAGCTGGTCTGTTGTTGGTAAATTCTTTCAGATTTTGTTTATCTGAGAGTGTTTTTATCTTTTCTACCCATATGAAGGATAATGTTGCCGGGTATAGTATTTTTGGTTGGAACCGTATTTCACTTAGCACTTTGAATATCTCTTCCCATTCTTTCCTTGCTCACATTGTTTCTGATGAAAGGTCTGATATTAACCTTATGCACTAATCTTTGTAAGTAACCTGAGGTTTCTCTCTTGCCAATTTTAGTATCTTGTCTTTGTCTGTGGATTTGACAAATCTGGCCATGATGTGCCTTGGAGAAGACCTTCTTGGGTTGATTCTATTAGAGGTTTTTTGTATTTCTTGGATCTGGATACTTGAATGCCTCTTTAGATTTGGAAAGTTTTCTTCCAAGACTTCATGTAATAGATTATCAATGCCCTTAGTAGTTTCTTCACCTTCTGGGATACCGTTTATCTGCATGTTTGGGCACTTAATGGTATCTAGTATTACTCATATAGTATTCTCACTTTTTTGGGTTACTGTCTCAGTTTTTTTGGTTACTTTTTATAGGTCAGAGATTTTGTCTTCAGTATCCGAGATTCCATCTCTGAGTGGACTAATCTGCTTTTAATACTTTCAAGGAGGATTTTTTTGTTTTGTTTTCTTGAGGGTTTTTATTTATTTATTTATTTTTTTGCTATAGGGTGAGTGTGCTGGCCAAAAAGACAGAGCGAGACGGAGAGACAGAAAGCAAGAAATCACCCCCCCCCCCGGGGGTATGGCCATGCTGCAATCCCTTCTCCTCCATTCTCCTCTCAGGATCTTAGACATGCATGCACACGCGCCCAGCGTGAGTTTTAAGCCACTGGATCTGGGACTTGAACTGCGGTTGACTACAGGGGAGTCCAGCGACACAGCCATTACGCCAACTGCTGGTTGCTCAAGGGAGGTTTTGATTCCCTACATTACAGCTCTTATCTCTAACAGCTCCATTTGATTCTTTTTTTTATGGTGTGTATTTCCTTCTTTCAGATCATTCAAGAACTTCCTCACCTCCTGGAACTTGTCTCTTTTCTCCTGCATCTTCTGAAGTTCATTGTCTCTCAGTTCTTGCATCTCATTTAGTTTTGTCACTATGAATATTCTGAATTCCCTATTAGACATTTCCACGAGTTCCACTGTACTGTCTGTGGATGATAAAGGATTGTTTTTTTCCGTGAGGGGAGAGATATTTTCTTGGTTTTCTATATTTGTTGTTCCTGTGTAGTGATTTCTGGTCATTTGAAGGATTATATGTGTCTCCCTAATTTCTGGGAGTTAATTCTGAGCTTTCAGTGGTGTAAGGAAAGAGATAGTTCTCAATCTCTTTGCAGTTCCATTTCTCTTATGCTCACCAAGCAAGCTGTACTTATGACTTTGGAGCTAGATATTACAAAGGCCTTATAGTTTCTAGGGAATAGGTGCACTGGGCTGAACTGCAGGGTTTCAACAGAGAGTTCAGAGGCATGTGGGAAGAGAGAATCCATGGTCTCTCTGTAGCTCCATCCTTCTCCCTGCTGCTCACTCTGCAGACACTCTTCTCTGAATTTTACTCATTTGGTAGTGAATTCACTTTTAGCCAATTGCTTAGAGAAGGTTTCTGCAATGGTAAGATCATGTGTTTCCCTTTTTTGTAGGGTAATTCTGTGCCGAAATCTCTCCTCTATTGTGTTTTGCAACATGGTATCCACAGAAAGAGATTTTGAGTTTAGATTTATAAAAATGGAGTTTCTTCCATTAGGCAGAAGTTTCATTAAGTGTTGAGTTCAATGACCCTAAAAGTATTCAGATGCTTGCCTATTGTGCACCTTGGCCTGTCTAGACACTCAGTATGTGGAGACTGAAAAGCAGAGTGGGAAAGTAAGGTTAAAAAAGAAAAAAAAAATCAAAAGGAAACAATAGAGGAAAAAGAAAAGAAAAAACTAGGCAAAAACAGCCAAAAAAGAGAAAAAAGTTTTTTTTTTAAAAGGTAAAAAATGAAAACTGTGCGGCTTGCTAGTGCACCATGCAAACACATCAGGACACACCTCAGATTTAAAATGGCTTCTGAAATTAGCAAGAGAAAAAAAAGGCTTGAGGGGAGAGAGGGGGTTTTAAAAAATAAAAAAAATTAAAGAGAGAGAGACAGACAGAGACAGAGAGAGGACAGAGGTCACCCTACCTGTCTGAGTGTTTCAGGGGTTAGATGATGGGGCTTAGAGCATAGCTTCAGTCACTTTGATCCCTGAACACACCAGGACACTGTTAAGTCTTAATAAGTGGGGAACTGTCCATCTATAAATAGGCAAGGGGAAAAGCCCAAGTATGGAGGTACTCTGCCATTTATTTATTTATTTATATTACTATTTTTTTTTAAGAGAGATTTTGTGTGCTCATTGGAGAGACAGAGAAACAGAAAGCGAGACATCACCCCCTAGGAGGGATGGCCATCCTGCAATCTCCACTGTCCTCACTATCCTCCCATGATCCCAATCACACATGCACACATGCCCGGTGCAAGCCTTTTTTCAAGTTGCTGGTTCTGGGACTTGAATTGTGACTGATGGCATGGAAGTCCAGCGATGCAACCACCATTCCATCTGCTAGTCTCAGCACTCTGCCATTTAAAGGTAGGGAAATGAAAGGGAACTCTACAGGAGATTGAGAAGCAAGGGGAAACATGTATGTGGGGCTGCCAAGTGAGGAAAATTGTCTCAAGAAGAGAGTGATCAACTGTGCTCAATGCTACTGATTGGTCAAAAAGGATGAAGACTGAAAATTTAGGATTGAATTTAGCAACATGGACATCACTAGTGACCTTGATAAAGTAGTTTCAGTGAAGAGTGATGAGATAAAAACATGCCTGAAGTAGTTTGAACAAAAAGGATGACGAGAAATTGCAGATAGCAAGCACAAACTTTCAAGGAGTTTCGTGGTAAAAGGAAAACAATATGGGAAGGAAACAAGATAGAAGTAGGGTTAGAGTTCAGTGATTTGATGTTGCTATTGTCTTGTTTCATTGAAACAACAACAAAATAGCATGTTTGTAAGCTGATTTAATAATGCAGGAAAATTTTAAAATTCAGAGAAGAGAGGGGAGATATGATGCAGCAACTTCTTTGACTAGAAGGAAGACTGAAAACTACCCCAGGTGAAGAGTTTACCTTGATTAGGAGCATGAGGCATTCAACTCAATATGGCATATAGTTGTATTACAGAATATAAGACAGCAGATACAGGTCAGTAGGTACATATGATGAAAGTTTGTACAAGTGGCAGTATTTTTTTTTTTCCCTTGGAGAGGTTTTTGCTATAGGGTACATATGCTTGCCAGAAAGACAGAGAGAGACAGAGAGACAGAAAACAAGAAATCACCCCCCAGGGGGATGGCCACGCCATAATCCCTTCTCCATTCTCCTCTTGGGATCTCGGGTATGCACGTACACACACCTGGTGTGAGTTAAAGCCACCGGATCTGGGACTCGAACTGCAGTCGACTACATGGGAGTCTAGTGACATAACCATTACACCATATGCTGGTCCCGCAAGTGTCAGTATTAAACTCCCATTTAATATTTACGATAATTGAGAGCACACTTATCTTAGCTGTGTACTTTTCTTCAAGGGTGCTCAGCTACATGGGTGTGCAATGTTGGGACAGTTGGATTCAATTAGTGTTTTGATTTTGAAAGTGAGAAATCACCATCCAGGGGGGATGGGAATGGCCAAGCCACAATCCCTTCTCCTCTATTCTCCTCTCAGGATTTTGGGCACACATGCATACACGCCCAGCGTGAGTTTCAAACCTCTGGATCTGGGACTCAAACTATGGTTGGTCATGTGGGAGTCTAGCGACATAACCATTATGCCATCTGCTGCTCCCAAGAGGTGATTTTAATGACTGCACCTGGCACTAAAGTGGGTAAGGAAAGAAGTTATAGAATAAAGGGAGTAAAGAAAATAAGTGATGGGACCAATATTAGGAAGGTCCCAGTGAGCTTGAGGATTATTAGTGTTGAGGTATTAGAGGGAGTAAATTGGAAAGAAAGATAATAGTGGTTGAAGAATGCTGTGTTTGAAATGAAATCATTGCAAAAACTTTTCTGTTATCAGCTGTGATATAATAAAGGATGTGGCTATTCGTGGATAAAGCAAAAGAGAGGACTAACTGACTGGAGGAGAAGAGGCTGAAGAAATGAGAGCAGAAAGGTCATCCTGGTAGATATTGAATTCACCAAGAATTAGAATAGAAGTTTGCTGAAGACTGGCACTCAACCAAAAGGTGAAATCTTCAGGGGAATCAGAGGAGAGACCAGGGAAAGGGAGCAAGGTTGATTACTTGATAACAATGAAGTGGAAATTGGTGGTAGAATTCTGGATCATGGGGTTAAAAACTGGGATTTGAAGGCAGAAGGGCAGAAGTTTGGCTTAGAAGTACCACTGAAGAAGGGAAAGGAAGGTTTTGTGCCCCATATCAGGCCCAATGGCATCAAAGAGCCAGGTTCTTGTAAGAGCAAGAACACAAAGAGAATTCTCCCAAATAAGATTGGGGATAGAGAAAAGTTGGCAGAAGGTTGAATGTGAGTACCGGAAGCACTCCCCAAAAAAGGTTTACAGGATAGGATGGGGGAATGAAATAGGTGGTCTTAGAAAAGGCCATACATAAACCAAATTAGAGTCAGTTGAGGAATAAGGGGAAGCTTGGAAGTTCTGAGATTCAACGTGATCTGGGGTGGTGGGTGTGGCAGGATTAGTCCTGATGGTCCTGAGTCAGAAAAAGGGAGAAAGGTTGTTGGTGTTGAGTAAAGGGAGACTTTCCGGAAATACAGAGCATTCTGAGGCCCCACTTGACTCCCCATTGATTCCTGCAGATGAGCATGTGGAGTCCTAATAATTGAAAGTCTTACCTTTGCTTGGGAGCTCTCTCGTGACTCATGCCAAAAGTGTTTTTTATAAAGATTCTCTTATACACTTTTTCTTTCATGCTGTGTGTATCCACAGACCTACCACTGGCCAAACATTCCTTCAAATTTGAGCTGGCACCATTTCAAGGTCCATCTGAGTATTGCATATGCTAAGAGGAAGAAAGTGAGCAGGTCTCTGTCCAGTTACTCATGTTGCAAATGGCTCAGAACAAGTTTACCCACTTGTTCATGTCAAGCGTTAGCCATGAAATCCCAGCCTGGCTCTAAATTTTGAATTAATTTTATCTTTACAATTAAATGTACAACATCTTTTTCCCCTTTGAACTCCAGAGCTGAAGTTATCTGACCTGAAAGAATGAAGACAGGAATAAGTGTGTGCAGTCACCTTCTTCTTTGACCTCATCATTGGTGTTACCTTTGAAACTTAGTCATAGAGAATCAAACTCCCAGAAACAAGAGGACCATTCTTTGTTCAAGGATCTTTAAGTGGCTGAATCCTCATGTAAGCTTTTAAAATACATTTGCAGGAAGTAATCATTCATTTCCTCATTTTTATTATTCAAAGCAAATAAAATTGAATGTGTAATAATGAGAGTAAACAATGTTTGGCAAACAGCAAATGACAATAAGAAATAGTAAACTAATTTATTTAATAATATGGTTAATGCTTTAGTTACATCATGTATCTTCTTCAAAAGCAATGCAACTATTTCTAAGAGGCTCTTTGAACTGTTGAATAGAGTCATCAAATTCCCATTAAGATTTTGGGATTCAAAGAGCCCAGCTAGAAAGTCCCCATTGTACAATTAAAATGCATAAATAAAATGCCCCCAGGTTCTCTTTCATAACAAAAAAATTGATACTCACATTCTCTAGTTGCCTTTAAGAGATGAGGGAACTAGGTATTCGACAAAGATGTAGAGGTGTATGTATTTGCCGGTTGCAAGGGGGTGGAAAGGAAAGGGACAACAGGTGAAAATCAAGTCACTAAGGGTAGGCTTAACGTGCTACTGAGATTGGAGTCTTTAGAGGAGATCAACTCCTGAAAGGGTAGAAGATAAAGAGCAAATTTGACCCACTTTATTATATGTTGATGATAACTGCTTTTCATGAGTAGCCTACAACTAACAAAGACACCAATAGAAAACACTCAAAAACTCAGAAAATGGCCAACTTAATCATAGGGAGAAGTCTGAAGTTGAATATTATATCCCAGAATTTAATTGGTAAGATTGGACCACAACAGAAGATAGATTAAGTACATGAGACTGAACTGGTGAAATAGAATCTTATGACTTTTGTTGTTCGAACATTGCTGATTTTCTTCTAGGCTTTGTCTTCTGGTTTTAAGGATTGTTGTCTTGTCTTGAGCTGCTGATAGGTTCATGTACCTACTATTTGAACAGAATCCTAACCTGTTTCCTGGCTTTAAGTTTTAAGCAAAGCTCTCTTAGCATTTCTTTGATTTTGATTTATTAAAGCTAAAACTGCTTTTCTTGAAATTAAAAAATAAATTAAAAAAAAGAAAAAAATAACTACAGCTCTGTTGCTCAGTTTCTCTCAGATCATCCCCCAACTCAGTAGTTTATACTTCCCTGAATTCATCATGAATTTGAATATTTAAGAAATAGGGTTGGAGCCCTAGAGATTATCATTTCTGAGTGCTTTTGGAAAAGCAATAAGCCAAGGAAGACTTCCCAACTTAGATTGAGTGTTCGGGGGGGCAATGCTGTCATATCAGAATATTCAGTCTGGAGACAGTTTGGAAAAAGCTGCACATGTTTAATGTATACAATTTAATGAATTTGGACATATGCATGAACTTGTGTTATTATCCCCGCAATCAAGCTAATAAACATATCCATGGCCTCCAAAAATTTCCTTATACTCTTTTCTAAGCTTATTTTTTCCATTTTTATTTTTGTGTACAAACGATTAACATGAGTTCTATCTTTTTAACTAATTCTTTAGAGTATAACCATGTCATTGCCTATAGGCACTACCCTGTACAGCAACTCTCTTCACGTCATCAAGCTCGCATAACGGAAACTTCATACCCATTGAACCACTCCTCTCTTCCCCTCCTTCTAACCCCTAAGAACCACCATTCTATTCTCTGCCTCTGTGAGTGTGACTACTTTAGATACCTAATATAAGTAGAATCACATTGTCTTTCTAAAACTGGCTTATTTCACTTAGCGTAATGCATTCCAGGTTCATCCATCATGTTGCAAATGGTAGAATTTCCTTTTTAAAACAGACTAGATCATATTCCAGCTTATGTATATTCTACATTTTCTTTAGCCATTAATCGTCGATGAACATTTGGGTTACTTTCACATCTTAGCTATTGCGGATAATGCTTCACTGAACATGGTAGTGCAGATCCTGAGATTCTTTGGGTATATACCCCAAAGTCAGATTGCTGAATCATATGGTAGTTCTGTTTTTAATTTTTTGAGGAACCACCATACTGTTTTTTATAGCAGCTGTTGTATTTAGATTTAGATTCCCACCAACAGAGCATAAATCCTTCATATCTTTACCAACATTTGTTTTTTATTGGAGAAGCATTTACTGCACAATCTCTTATTTGAAAAAGTAAAGAGAAATTGTTTTCATAGTACAAATAGCACAAAATCACTCTTTATATAACTGACTTGCTCTGAAGAAGTGATTCTCAGTAATTCCATTGAGGACAATATCCCGGTTAAACAGAGTACTGGAATTTTAGCAGAAGTCAGAGATTTCTGTAATAAAAAGAGCAGGAGGTTTTTTTTTTTTTTTTTTTTTTTTTTAAAGAAAGAAAGAATGCAACGGAGCAAAATAGATCAGTGGCATAACACAGTTTTCCAACAGAATATTTAAGAATTTGTTTAAAAAAAGTAGTAGTTTGTCTCATTTGCTAGCAAGATGAAGTAGGAGCACACAGGTCTGTAGTGTCCAGAAGGTCACAATTTCTAAATCTGAGCATTTTCAGAGAGTAGAATAAGTCATTTCAATGGACATACTGTATAAGTTTGTCAGTGCTTTGGAGCACTAAACTTTCTAGAGACTGTAAGATTTGATTCATAAGCTACTTGGGGAAAAGTTTTTCAAATAAAGAAGAAATATTTCTGTCTCTTCCTTGAATTTAGGTTTTTTTTTTTTTTAACAGTACTCACCAGTGACTCAAATATGTTTATCCTTCAGTAAAACTTTTCATTTTTCGAATTGCATAGGCTTGTGTCATAGAAAATTCTAGAAAGAATTTTACCTAATGTTGAGTCCACACATGTTCAGGCTTGGCCCATAAGAGAGCTTTCTTTGTTTTATCCCTTTGTTAATTTATTTGTTTTACTTTTTACATTTGCTTTCAGGAACAGAAAGGATCTACTTTAAAAAACTGCTTTTAACCCCAGTTGTTATCAGCACTGAAAACTTTTTAAGTGAAAATTTTTTTAATTAAATAGAACTCTCCTGACACTGATTATTCATAATCCTACAAATAGGCAGTTTTGGTTTACTCTCAGTTAAAAGTTGAAGAAAAAATCTGCAAGAAGAAAGAAATTGCCATCTAAACTATTGGGATAGGGGGAAATCTACATTTTTTTAAAAAAAATGGTGAATAACAGATCTATTAATAGTATTTTAGGGATCTTAGATTTGAGGCTAACCCTTAAGAAAAACAACCCCATGCCTGGAGTTTCACAGCAAACAATGACTGCCAACCAGCCTCTTGATGACTTTTGTCTTCCTAAATCTAATCCCGTGATAAACCTCTTGTTTCCTACACTTGACGTGCCCCTCTTTTACTAGACCCAAATCCATCAGACACATTGTGGTTGGCTCATTGTGAACAAACAGAACTGACAGTTTCCTTCCTCAAAGTAAACAGTCCTGGTACTTAGACACAGTTCAAAGGGTTTATCACCCCAATGTGGCTATTCTTTTTAGGTGGGCAAGTAGAGCCAGGTCTAACTTCTAATTTAAACAGCTTTATTCTCAACTGACATTCCTAATTTTTACTCCTAGTAAAATACTGTATAATTGCTCAACCAGTGGCCTGTTTTCACAGCCTCCATTTTTTCTGCCTTTTTCCCCCCGTTCACTGCAGTAACCATTACCCCCTCATTCTCATTTAGCTTTGTTGTCATTTATGAACGTAGCATTGCAATCAGAAGAATTGGTGGCCTCATTTATGCCATTTCAGTGTTAGATTTTACTCTGTCCTACCCTGGATAAATTATTCCTAATCCAGTCAACATGGTATTTTCTTTGGCCTTCTCCCTTCTCATTTTCATGGTTACCCTCTGGTTGGTTCACTGGAGAACAGATCAAGAAATGCAGGGGCCTCCCCTGACAGAATGGAACACTAAAGGTGTATGATGTCATGCCAAGTGCTCGGAAAGGCCATGTTCTGGGAAAACAATGTCCTCCCATCAGGCAGGATTCCACGACTGCCAAAAGAAGGACGAGTTCTCATGCTCTCCAGAAGACAAACCATTCATATTTCCTATTGTTTCTTCAGGCACTTGCTTCCTTCTGTTTATTCCAGCTTTAATAAACCAATGAGTCATGCTACTTACTTCTGAGTCCAAGTGACTTCCCTCCTGAGGTTCATTTCAGATCGAGCCCCAGTAAAGAGTAGAACAGTCGCTCGGGCCAGAGTTTGTTTTTGGCTTTGCGCTATAGTCTGGGCTTTGTTTTATCCTTTCTTGTAGTGAAATGTCTGAAGGAAAGACTCTCAAGTGCCTTTTTACTTCCTTGGTAGCAGACTCCTTGGGCCACTAAACTAAATCTCCCTCGTTGCTGACCATCATGTTTGGGATATCATTAACTGATCATTAGTTTACACCGCTGGGAGGATTTTCTTAACACAACATCCATTATTAAAAAAGACTCTTCTACATCCTTTAGGTAGGTGATGTAAAGAGCCAGAAGGACAGAGGGTTCTTTTTGGGGAGTGTCTCCAGAAAGCAGTACTGTGGATTCCAGGACCTAAGTGTCCTAATACCCTCATCCCTGGAAGGCAAAAGGTTTGAATGAAGGATCTGCTGACAGAGGGGTAAAGGGGCTCTAAGAGATTTCACACAAAGGAGTCTGTCTGGCTTACAACAACTGGCTGAGAGACAGTTTTTCTTTTCTTTTTTTTTTTTTTAACATTTTTTGCTATAGGGGATGAGCGATTGCTGGGGGGA